GAGGCATCCATCCCCCCCACTGGCTTCACAGGTCCTGGTCCTGACGACTTAGTCCTGAAAGATTCCTTGAGCCGGTGGAAATGAAGGAAGTTTGATCTAAGAGGATGGTGACTTGACCCCAGGAGAATAGATTGAAGGACATCTGAGGTTCTGGGGCTGCCAGGTCCTGGGTATGGGTGACTCAGGGGTCTAAAGTAAAAAATACAAAACACAAACCAACAAATACAAATAATACAAAGGACAAAGTCAAAATATGTAAATAAAAGGTTGAAAAGCAAGTAAAAAAAAAAATGCTTAAGCAGATAGCAGTGTATTCATGCCTGTTGAAATAATGCCCAGTGGGGCGGTGGCCTCCCTAGAAGTGGGTGACAGAACTGCTTTCTCCAGCTCTAGAGTTCCCAAAACTCCCTCCCAGAGGCTGGATTTGAACCCAAGTCAGTAACTAGGGGGTGAAATGGTCCTGTCTGGAGAGGTTACCTCCTAATCCACTTTCAAAGACTATTCAAGAAAATGCTGAGAACCCATCAGGAGGCACCCCACAATCAGAGAGCCCTGGGCTGGCCAGGTCTCCCGTCACACATCTGTCCTATCAGTGGCAGCAGCCAGATGGCCACTGGTCATAAATGGATGCCTGAGGCCCCAGAACCTCAGGACCTCTGGATCACATGCAGATACTGGCCTGATTACTTGAATTTGGATATCCCAGTCCCAGGGCATCCAGCGGGGCAAGGAGCTGAGACCCAGAGGTCCAATGATTGTGTCTGCTGTGTGACCATGTTTGAGCCTCAGTCTCCTGCAATGCAGGAGACCTGGGTTTGATCCTGGGTTGGGAAGATCCCCTGGAGAAGGGAAAGGCTAACCATTTCAGTATTCTGGCCTGGAGAATTCCATGGAGCCTATAGTCCATGGGCTTGCCAAAAGTCAAACAGGAGTGAGTGACTTTCACTTTCACCTTCTCATCTGTAAAACAGGAGTCTTCATTGCTCCCACATCCTGGTGCTTGTGTGAGGATTAAACATCTGGCTGGCACATCTTAAGCACTTAGTTTTATGATACAAAACTTCATATTCTTGTTCCCATTGCATTCCCAGCACCCTACTTGGGCCTGGTACACAGCAGGCACTCACTAATTATTTTTTTATTCAAGAATCTATTGAGCACCTACTATATTCTGGGTATTGGCTTCACATATTGGGAGATACCACTGATAACTCCTGGATCTGGGGGTGGCTGAGTTGGGGAAAGAGGGAAGAGGGCACTGGGATCCCCCAGGACAGGATCAGAGCAGCCTTCTGAGAAACAGCAAAAGAGAAAGGATGGTGGGAATGGCACTCCCAGCAGAAGGTGTGACCAGGCAAAGGCCCTGAGGGGGGATGCAGTTCAACCCACCCGCGGGGGCCAATGAAACTGCGCTGGGCTGGGGATGGGTGCCAGAAGGGTAGATGAGCTCAGGGAGGCCGCATGGCCCACAGGCACCTCAAGCATAATCCAATCTCAAACCCCCAAGAGGAAGTTTCTGCCACCTGCCCAGAGAGGTTAAGTGAGTTGCCCAGGGTCATATAGCCAGTGTGACTTGGTGGGATTTGAATGCTGTGAGCCCACTGACTCCAAGGCCTCTTGGGTGGTACCTCATAAACTTTTGCAGGATGGGGAATTCCCTGGCAGTTCAGTAGTTAGGACTAGGTGGTCTCACTGCTCTGGGCCCAGGTTCAATCCCTGGTTGGGGAACTAAGATCCCATAAGTCAAAAGGAAAAGAAAAAAACAAACCAAATGAAAAAACAAAATGAAACTTCTCCAAGATGAATGAATCAATGAATGTATGTCTGGTGTGAGACAAGTCAGGAGCTAGGCATTAAAGGTCTGAGGCAAAGGGCCCCTCCCTGTATCCCTCAGGGGAGGGAGGGGTGGAGGCAGATGGGGGTGGTGGTGTCTTTTGCTTCAGCAACAGGGCTTGTTTCCCAGCAACAGGGCTGGGGCGCTCTCTGGTGGTCAGAGTAGGAATGCCTTGGAATCGCCTCTGAGCTTTGAGGGGTGCAAGATGGTGGCTGGAAGACAAGTCCCTATTCCTTACCACTTGACATTCAAGATCCTTTATGCACAGCCTCCAATTTGTAATTCTTTGACACTCTGGCTCCAATACTCCCAACTCTCAGCAGGAGTCTCACCTCCATCCCACTCCTATTTATTACTCAAAGTCCTGGCTCTAAAGTCCTCTCCCTTGGGAAGTCTGTCTGTCTCTCCAGGCAGAGCCAAGGGTACCCTAGGGGCTCATCCCCTGGCTCAGTCTCGTGAGGCTGGGGGCGTCTGTAGCCTGCTCTGTGTCCTCCAGTTATGGAGTATTTCAGAGAACCACTTTCATTTTCTGTCTGTGGTTTCCTCTGCTGTGTCCTTGCACCCCAGCAGAGTCTGGCATGCAACAGGAGCTTCATGAATGTTTGTCTAGTGGGTAAGGAAATAAGTACATAATTGTCCTGGAACTAAATTCAGAAATGATCCTGGCCTGATTCATTTTGAGGGGAGGGGTAGGTTTTTTGCCCTCTCCTCACCCTGAGGCATCATGGAAACAAGGCCACACCTTGCTCAGAGTCTCTTATGCCACAACGAGGCATGGGAGAGCAGGCCTCCTTGATCCAGGAATGGGTCTCCGGTCTGCATGCATTCGAAGAATGTTTATGTAAAGCCTGTGTGCCAGGTCCTGTTCTGAGTCCAGCTGGGAACAAGATACAAAAATCCCTTTTGTTGTGGAACTGACAGTTTATAATATGGACCCAAGCACTGTTGCAGAACATGCCTCAATAGGTGGACATTTGAGCAGACTTGAAAGGTGTGGGGGAAGAAAGCCATGCGGGTGTCTAGGCAACGGTGCACCAGGGCAAGGTTACAGCCCGTGCAAAGGCCTGGAGGTAAAAGAGCGCAGGAGCATCCCAGGAGCAGTGAGGACAGAGAAGTGAAAACCAGGTAAGTCAGTCACTCGGTTCAGTCGCTCAGTCGTCGCTCAGTCGAGTCCGACTCTTTGCGACCCCATGGACTGCAGCACACCAGGCTTCCCTGTCCATCACCAACTTCCGAAGCCTGCTCAAACTCATGTCCATTGCGTCGTTGATGCCACCCAACCATCTCATCCTCTTTTATCCCCTTCTCCCGCCTTCAATCTTTCCCAGTATCAGGGTCTTTTCCAATGAGTCGGTTCTTCGCACCAGCTGGCCAAAGTATTAGAGTTTCAGCTTCAGCATCAGTCCTTCCAATGAATATTCAGGACTGATTTCCAAACAGGTGGGTCTTGGCAATAAGAGAAATAATGAGGGAACTAGGGGGGGGTCTGTGCGGGAACTGGTAGCAGTTTTGTAGAAGAGGAGGGGCTTGGCTCCGCCCCGCCCCAGCCCCGCCCTCGGCCTTCCCCTTAGCCTTCGAGCCGGGCCCGCCTCCAAACCCACCTCAGGCCCTGATCCAGGTTGCCCAGGCAGGCAACCGCCCAGCAAGGCCCCGCCCATGGCCCCGCCCCCGCCCAGCTCCGCTCCTAGTTTGCTCCTCGGCGGCCACCGTCACCCGAGCCACCGCCCGCCTCGCGCGCTGCCTGTCCCGTTTCCGCTACCCTTCCCCGCCTCACGCCGTGCGTGCCGTGCGTGCCGTGCGTGAGCGTGCGCGGGCTCGTCGGCCGGCGAGGGAGCAGCAAACGGCCGGCGGCGGGCGCCGCGCGGGGGGCGGGCGGCGTGGAGGAGGCGGCGGTGGCCATGGCCGAGGCGTCACCGCAGCCCGGACGGTACTTCTGCCACTGCTGCTCAGTCGAGATCGTGCCGCGCCTGCCGGTGAGGCCCAGGCCGGGCGGGCGGGGGCCACTGCCTTGGCCCGAGGCGAGTTGGCACAGACGGGGAAACTGAGGTCCCCGCGGAGGGCCCGGAAGTGGTGGCCCTGGTGGCGCAGCGAGGCCGGTGACCGGGAGGGAGCGGAGTCGGCCCCGAGCGCGATCAGCGCTGCGAGCGCCTCGTGGGAGAGAGCCGTCGCTCTCCCGGGCCCGACGGCGGCCCGAGCCGGCGTTCTTGCGCCTTCCGGGGCCTGGGGTCTGGACCCAGGTGGGCCCTGTGCCCTCGTCCGGGTGGAGGCCGCGGGACAGCTGATCGTGAAAGGCTCGGTTTCCAGGCCCCTCAGCCCGGAAGTTCCGAGTGGGTAGGTCCGGGATGGGGTCGGTGCCCCGCGCCTGACCGACCCTCCCCCGCTGAATGGGAGGAAGGTTAGAAGGCAAGGCGCCCCTGGCCGGCCCCGCTCCTGGCATTTGCCGCTCGGCCAGCTCAAGAGGAGCAGGAAGAGGGCGATGTGGGGGGCCAGGGAAAGGGGCTGTGGGTGGCGACGACTGATTGAGCACCAGCTCTCCTTGGTCATCTGGCTGATTTAAGAACCAGATTCCCATCCCTTCCTTTCTTGCTGTGGACTTCACTGGGGGATCCAGCAGGAGTCGTGGGCATTATTCCAGCCACAGAAGTGAGCTAGAGTTAGGGTTTGGAATGGAAACGGTGCCTGAACCCAGGAGAGTGTAAGATAAGGCAAGGGTGGTGTGGCTTCCAGAGGCAAGGGGATGGGGGCCGGCAGATAAATGGAAACCTCGGTGCGCGAGCAGACTTGGGGGGGCCGAGACTTGCCCGACTCCCCCACTCCAGCCTCCCGGAAGACGTACTGCTTCTGCCTCTTCCGGCTTCCTGTGCGCCCCAGCTCTGGGTCTGGTTTCCTCCACTGGGAGGAACGGTCGGGTCGGCGGGACAGTCCTCTAGCCTAGGTGAGCTGCAGGGAGCCTCTTGCAACGGGTGTGAGCCCCGGACAGGCCCTGGGCTTCGGGCTTACCCCAGAGTGACCTGTCCAGAGCTATCGGCAGCCCGGGGCTGTGTAGTTAGCTGTTCTGGCCTCCCTTCCCAGGGCCAGCACGCGGCCGGATCCTGGCCATGTAGTCTCGGACCAGAAGGATCCTGATCTCTGTGGACAGTCTGTGGACACTGAGCTGGCGAGGGCCTTTCTAGTCACAGGATCCAGTGGTGACAAGGTAGCCATGACCTTTGCTCTCAGAGTTTACAGGGAGCCAATGCTGAGCAAGTGATTGGCAAATATTTGATTTGTTGGAATGTTGGTAAATTCTGTTAGGAGCAAATATTGGAGGCAAGGGGACTGATTTGTGGGTTTGGGAAGGGGTTGACGGGGTCCTGTAGACAGGTGTCTGTTTATGAGTAGGGGTGCACTTGGTGTTCATGAGAGTAGGGAGGTGGGCTCTTAACCTGGTGACAGTGGGAGGCTTCCGCCAGCTGCACCCCTCCCACCTCCCCCTGCCCCAGTGGGGTGGTGAGACTCAGGTGGCTGCAGGCCCTCTGTTCCCAGGGTTTCTCCCTGCAGCCATGAGACTCTGCCTCATTCTCCTCGCCCATCAGATGGGTTGGTGAGGGCACCCCTGTGCTCGAGAGTGCCGGTGCAGGGGGGCCAGGATGCCCCGGAAGGGCGGGTGCCTGCCTGGAATGGGCGTGTGGGAGCAGGAACCGGGCAGGCCGGCTAGCTCAGAGGCCTCTGCTCGGGCGCACAGGCCCAGACTCGATCCCCCAGGAAACGGGAGCGCCAGGGATGAGGTGGATCTGGGCCATGCATGGGCCAGGCTCCTAGTGGCCTGACCGGTGGCAGTCATGATTCTGTCTCCTGTCCTGTGGACACCCCTGATTCCTCTCAGAAGTGTCCCTGAGCAGGGTCGGGGGGACGGGAACAAGCTCTGTTACGTCGAACAGGCCACCTTGGAGAGCCGTCGGGGTGAAGAGAGAAAGTCCGTCCTCTGCACAGAGCCCCTGGGGTGCAGACTGGTCCCCCTGCCTGCTCGGCGTTAAGGCCAGCATCTCTCCAGTTCCCACCTCAATGTCCCCTGTTCCCCCACACTCACCTGGCCGGGAACCTGGGGTCTGCATGTGGCATGGAGGGTGAGGCCTGTCTCCAAGGGCCTACTGCAGGGAGCAAGTGCTGAGTGAGTGGAGTGCATGGTCTGTCCTGTGGGCCGCTGTTGTCATGGTAATAATGATGGCGTGATCACCCTGGTCTCCTCAAGAGAAGCTGTCAGCTGGGGATAGGTGCTCACGAGCTAGGGCCTTGCCAAGGTATATAGACTCTGCCCTGTGGGGGTGATTGTTCCATCCCAGGATGTCCCCCATTTCTGTCACGGTGAGGTAATTAAATCTCTGGGACATGCGGCCTCTGGAGGAGGGAGCATTGAAGACCCAGGTCTGGACCTTCTGCAAGTGCAGCAGAGTTTGGGGCCTCCCTGAAACCAGGTCACTGTGGCTCAGGGGCCAAGTCCAGAGCCTGGGGTTGAGGCCACCCTCCATTTGCAGGTGGGGAGATGGAGGCTTACAGCTGGGACCCAGCTTCCGAGAGGGGCAAGCCAGGTAGATATCAACTCGGGCTGTGGGGACCCAGGACAAGGAAAGGCCCAGGCCTGAGATGACCGGTCTGGGTTGTGCTGGGGCTCAGGGAACACAGGGACCCCTGAGGATGGCATGGTGATCGGCTCTCAGGCACCAGGAGCAGCAGTGAGCCCCAGGGGTGGAGGACAGACACCCTATCTCCAGTGGGTGTGTTGCTCACCCCGCCCTGGCTCTCCCAGGCTTGCCTGGGGCAGGGTGCCCGGGAGAGAGAGTTTTGTCACAGGGGAGGTTCTGGGCCTGCCTGTTGGCCCAGGCCAGAAGGTTCCCAGATTCCTAACCTCGGTCAGCTCAGACTCAACTGCAGCCACGTTTGCCCCTGTCCATCGCCCTCCCACTGGGGCTCCTGGAGGGGGAAAGAACCTTGGCTACCAAGCACAAAGCCTCCAGTGACTGCGTTTCTTGGCCTGTGAAACGTTGAAGTAAACGACAGGCTGAGTGACAGCCCTGGAAACCCATGCTAGTGACAGCTGTGGTGGACCCTTCCTGGGGGAGCCTCCCCTGGGCCCCACGCCCCTGCTCAGGAGGGCAGAGGGCTGCTGTTCCTGGTTCACAGTTTCAGTGCCACATGTCCCACCCACTTAAAACTCAGGTCTTGCAGCCGGCCATCACCAGTGTCCTTGTCCAGGACATTTGGTCACTCAAAAAGGAGCCCCGTCCCCATCAGCAGTCACCTTCTTGGTCCCTGACAACCAGGATCCCACTCTCTGTGTCTGCAGATCTGCCTGTTCTGGATGTTTCCCATCAGTGGAATCACACTCTGTGTGTTCTATGTCTGCTTCTCACTGAGCATCATGTTCTCAGGGTCCATCCACATGGTGGCAAGTGTCAGGGCTTCCTCTTTGCATGTCTGAGTGATGCTTCCAGGGGTGGAGGGACATGTGGTTGTGTTTGACTGCTGTGCGTGTGTGGGTTTCTGTGTGGACCTATGTCTCCGTCACCCCTGGTGGGTGCCTGGTGGGGCAATTGCAGGGTCATGGGGTGACCATGACTGTTTTCTGAGGACACTGCCCCAATTCACAGCCCATCTGCCATGTGGTGGTTCCAGTTTCTCTGCCACCTCCTACAGTGGTCCCTGTCAGCTTCATGGGTCCAGCCATCTGGGTAGATGTGGAGTGTGTCCCGCTGGTTTTGGTTTGCGTTTCCCTGTTGGCAGACTATGTGTGCATCCCTTCTTGGCTCGTTGCCACCTGTCTGTCTGTGGAGAAATGCTGTTCTGATCCTCTGGTCGTTTTCTAACTGGGGCGTTTGTCTTTTGTTGTTGAATCGTAAGAGTTCATTACACATTTGGACACAGGTCCCCGGGACATGTACAGCTCTGGCCTACCCTCTCGCCCAGCTCAGGTGGCATCCTTTCATTCCCTGGCCCCTTTGCTCTCTGCAGTGGAGCAGGTGGGGGTCCCGCCTTCCTGACAGGTGCCTGGCCCCCAGCATCTGCAGGGCAGGCCACACGCCCCACATCTCCACATTGTTCCCTACAGAGGGTGGCCCAGCCATCGGTGCCCTAGGCTCCTGGGGACTGGGACCATGGGCAGCCTCAGTGGAAGCACCTCACGCTTGCAGCTTTAGAACACATGTGGACCTAAGCCAGTTCCAGGCCCGACTAGTGGATTTGGTCCTCAGGCTCCCTGTCCCTGAGGGGCAGGGCCACCTCTTTGCTGACTGGAGACATCACAGTCTCTGCCCCGCTGGCTGTCCAGCCTGGGGTCACAGGCCACACCTCGGGCAGTCCAGAATGTTCTGCAGGCTGGTTCCTCTGCCTGGGTGTGCCTCCCACCCTCAATGGCCGCCTTCCTGGGAGTTGATCTCTGAGGCCCAGGTGGTCCTGGAGCCCCACTAGTCACTCTCCCAGCCTTCCTTTCTATTTGTGTGGGTGTGGGGGTGTTAGGGAACATTCTCAGGTCCCCCAAGTTGGGAAACTTCCCTGGACCCGCGTCAGCTGGCCCTTTGCTACACGCTTTGTCAGAGCCTTCATCAGGCCATGTGGCTGAGTGGAGGCCCCGAAACTGTGACTTCTGTCACTGTGGGGAGCACAAGCTGATGGACTCAGGGACATGGGAGGTTGGGGATGTAACTGCTGAGGTTGCAGCCCACCATGTGCACAAGGAAGTCAGTGCACCAGCCCTGCCCGGAGCCACATGGCTGGAGCTGGCAGGTTGCCACCTGGGCCCTTGAGATGAGCCCCCCACACACACACACACACCCCGACCCCGCCTTGCCCTGAGATCACCCTTGCCTGCCCTCTCCTCCCCAGGATTACATCTGCCCAAGATGCGAGTCTGGGTTTATCGAGGAGCTTCCAGAAGAGACCAGGTAAGGCTGCCCCCCCTCATGGACCCTCAGCCCAAGGGTGCACTGGCTGGACCTGGGTCAGGTGTAGAGGGGGTCTGCCTTCGTCTGACCCTCTGGCCATCTGTCTGGGGTGGGGTGCTCCTGGTGCTAATGGTACCTGTCCTCTTAGGAGTGCAGAGAACGGCTCAGCCCCCTCCACAGCCTCCGCGGACCAGAGCCGGCAGCAACCGTTCGAGGTGAGAGGCAGCCTCCCTGTTCCCCGTGAGGGCTGCCCAGCCCTGGCCCCTCTCCCATGATGTTGGCCCTCCTCTCTGCAGAATGTGGACCAGCCCCTGTTCACGCTGCCGCAGGGCTACGGGCACTTTGCTTTCGGCATCTTTGACGACAGCTTCGAGATCCCCACGTTTCCCCCTGGGGCGCAGGCTGATGACAGCAGGGACCCCGAGAGCCGGCGGGAGCGAGAGCAGCACTCCCGGCACCGGTACGGCGCCCGGCAGCCCCGCGCCCGCCTCTGTGCTGGCTCAGGGGCCGTCCTCCAGGCAGGGCAGGTCCCCTGTGGGTCCAGGTTGGCTGAGGGGCTGTGTGCCCACTGTGTGCCCCTCAGCATCCTTCAGAGAGAGGCCTCTGCCCCAGGGCACAGGCGAATGGCAGTATCAGGTGTCCTCGCCCTTCCTGTGTGCAGGGTCCTGAGGACAGGAGGGGAGGACCTAGAAGGCCCGTCTCAGCCCCACGGGACACGGGGCTGAGCATCCTGTGGGTGTTTGTAGATGGAGCTTGATTGCAGGCAGGCCAAGGCTGGTCCAGCTCATGACATGGCCTGGCTCACTGTGACCTCGGCTGGCATGTTTTAGGGTCACTGTGAAGAACAGGGCTGACTTCAGGGCTCCTGGGGCCCCCCCACGGCACTCCCTCTGGGTTGCAAAATGGGGGGGGGGACGCAACTGTGTGTCAACCGGCACTGTCCAGGCCTCAAGGAGACCTCTACCCCAGCACCCTTGTGACTGGGCTTTTTCTCACCAGTTGAGAGTCCAGCTCCCCTACAATGGCCCCTCCTCATAAGGGCGCTAACCACGGGCCTGGCCACTCTGTTCCAGGATCATCCAGCAGCTGGTCAACGGCATCATCACCCCGGCCACCATCCCCAACCTGGGCCTGGGCCCCTGGTGAGTAGGGGAGGGGCCCCCTGCGCCCGGCCCACCCCTCTGCCACTTGAACCCCAGCCTTCTCTGCCCAGGGGCGTCCTGCATTCAAACCCGATGGACTACGCCTGGGGGGCCAACGGCCTGGACGCCATCATCACGCAGGTACAAGGGTCTTGCTTAGCTGGTGTGGGGACCACACCCATACAGGCTGGGCCCAGGAGGACAGAGTGTCTTCCGTGTCTGTGTCCTGGGTGGCACTTATGAGGCGGGGCTGTAACCACCTTGGGGCCTTCTGCTGCATATTTTGTCACCAGTGCCTGCCCCCTGATTGTAGCCACGTGAGGACTTGGGAGCCATCCTGGCCCTAGGAAGGGGCCGCCGTGTCCCTGGGGTGGCTACCAGCCCTGGCTACAAGGTGGTGATGAGCAGAAGAGTGGGCAGAAGCCCAGGGCTGGGCCTCCTGGGGCAGCTGACCTCTGACCCCTCAGGGTCAGGCCAGGACAAACAGGGCCTCGGTGCTTTTGCAGGTAACCCCGCCTTGCATTTCATAGCCCCGTGGGGCGAGGGACCCTACCAGCCCACCTGCTCTCCGGCCTCTTGTCTTTCAGCTCCTCAATCAGTTTGAAAACACGGGTCCCCCACCCGCAGACAAAGAGAAAATCCAGGCCCTCCCCACCGTGCCCGTGACCGAGGAGCACGTTGGTACGAGCCCCAGGGGCCAGTGGGGGGTGGGCTTGGGCCAGTGACTCCTCCTCCCTAGGACACCTTGGGCAGGGCTTCAGGGGAGCTGCCCTGAGAGACGTGCTCCTGCCCTGCAGGCTCGGGGCTGGAGTGTCCCGTGTGCAAGGATGACTATGGGCTGGGTGAGCGTGTGCGGCAGCTGCCCTGCAACCACCTCTTCCACGATGGCTGCATCGTGCCCTGGCTGGAGCAGGTGAGTGATGGGCCAGCTGGGACACTGCCCTCAATCCGTCGCCCCCGCCGCCTCTGAACTGTTCCCTCTCCTCTCTGTCCTGCAAAGCACGACAGCTGCCCTGTCTGCCGAAAAAGCCTCACAGGACAGAACACGGCCACCGACCCCCCGGGCCTGGCTGGGGTGAGCTTCTCCTCCTCCTCGTCATCCTCCTCCAGCTCACCCGGGAATGAGAACCCGGCCAGCAGCTCCTGAGCACACCGGCCGGCCAGCCCCCAGGGCAACAGCAGACACCCCACGCGCCCACGGACTGCAGCGCCACCGGGCCCGCCGCGGAGGAGGCTCGGAGGACCCACCCCTCCAGGCTGCGGAGGGAGCTCGGCCTCCCCAGGGACAACCCGGCTGGGCCGGGCGCCCGCGCACACTGCCCGGGCGTCCCACCTTCCCCCCCTTTGTCTCTGACCTCACCCTCTACATGTTCAACGGCGGAAAGGTTTTTATAATTTTAAATTATTACTGCTTTGAAATAAATGGACGTTTGAGCTCACTCGCGGCCCTGCATGATCTGTGGAGAGACGGGGTGGAGCCACTTGGCTGGGGTCCTGGCTGCGTGGACAGGCCCTGCTCCCCACCCTGAGCACTGGGGCCTGGGATACCAGGATAACCAGCGAAACAAGGACAAGACTGCTCTGACAGACGTTTTTTAAAGGAGAAAATATGTGTATCTTGAAAGCTATTTAAAAATACACCTACTTAGAAAGAAGCCGGTGGTCGGCGTATTCCTTGTGTGCGTCGGTGCAGCCTGGGGCCCAGTCTGTCCACGGCAGGATCACTCTGCTCCCTCTGTGGGTGAGTGTCCAGTCTGTGCCCCTTGGAAGTGCCCCCCAAATCGGTCTTCGGAAATGGCCACTGGGTGGGGTGGGAGCCTCCCCCCACATCCCAGCTCCACCTCTGCCCCACCTGGGGGAGCTCAGCCCCCAGGAAGCTGACCTGGGACCCCCTCAGCCTGCACACCCCGAGGGGTTGCACACCTTATAAGGGGCTCTGAGGCCAGTGTGTGTGGGTCTGCAAGGATGGCTGTGACAAATCACCAGACTTGATGGCTTAAAACAACATGTTTATCAACTTCAGGCTTCGGGTCACAATTTGGGTCTTAGAAGGCTAAATCCAGGCATGGGCGGGGCTAGTCCCTCCCGAGGCTCCAGGGGAGTACCAACTTCCCACTTTTCCAGTTTCCAGAGGTGCCACATCCCTGGCTCACAGCCCCTCCCTCCATCCTCACAGCCAGCAGTGCAGCATCTCCTGTCTCTCTGCCTCTGACCCTCCCACCTCCCTCTTATAAGGACCCCGTGATGACACTGGGCCCCCCGGAGGATCCAGGGTTGTCCCCATCTCAGGGACCTTAATTCCACCTGCAAAGCCCCTGTGCCCCATGAGGTGACATGTCCATAAGCCCTGGGACCAGGCCCTGCCAGTCCGTGGCATCATTTTACCCCAGCCCCCAGCCTCCCCCACCTCCTTGCTGCCTCAAACACCCCAGTAGGTTCCCACCCCGGCAATCTTGCCTCCCCATCTCCAGCCTGGTCGGTGCCTTTGTTGAAGCCTCCCTGGCCCCCCAAGCTTGTGGCCGGATTCCTTCCACCCCTGCTCAGCTCACTGTCCACCTCCCCTCGAACTCAGTCTCTGAGCGCGGGGCCACATCTGTGGGGTCTGGTGGTGTCCCCAGTGCCCAGCAGAGCAGGTGCTCAATGCAGGTGAAACCAGTGAGTAACTGGACACGGGCTCTCCCCAAACCCCGCCTTCCCCAACCTCACGCGTCTCCTGGAATCTCGGACCAGGCGTCACTGACCCTGGGACTCAGGAGACCAGGACGGGCAGGAAGAGCGTGGACGGGTGGTGTCGCTGTGTGCGGCCCCCGAGCCTCGGGGCGCCCCGACCGTCCAGAGCCAGGAACATGGGCCGGCCTTGGTGGCGCCAGCGGACAGACGCATAGGTGTTGTAGCCGTTCTCCTCGATACGCTCCCGGAACCTGCAGTGCGCAGCGCAGAACCGCTGCGGGGTGGGTGGTGAGCGGCCCCGGACACGCCCCCCGGACACGCCCCCACACACCTCTGCTCGCACCCCCGACCGCCCTTTGCACTTCCACTCACCGACCCATAGAGTCTGCCAAGGCGGTTCATGGCCACGTAGAAGCCACTGTGCACCGCCTTGAGCACCACGACTCCCACGCGGATGGATCGGATCTCCAGGACGCCTGCAGGGAGGGGCTCTGTCAGGGCCTGCCCACTACCCACTCCCCTACTCTCCCCGCTCTCTCTGTTCATTCATTCATTCACGCGGGAAACATTCCCCATTGGAAACATTTCCCAAGTACCTCCTGTGTGCTTGGCCCTGTGCTGGGCGTGGGGACGCACCAGGGCCCATGCAGGTCCTACCAGCACCTGCCCTGAAGCTGTGGGACTGACGGGTGGGGCAAAGAGTACTCCAGGCCGGGGCACGGGGCGTGGTGGAGGGGGGAATGGCAGGGGTGGGAATCAGTGGGGAAGAAGTAAGGCCTTTCTCAGGAGGCCAGCAGAGATCATCCCCAAGCTTTGCTGTAGCCGGGAGGGGGTCAGTCAGGGGTGAGAAAACCAAGTCAGAGGAGGTGAGTGCCTGTGTGACAGATATAGACCCCTGGCAGTGGGCACAGGCCCCGTGGGCCTTGCCCACAGTCCCCACACTGCTGTTACCATATCTGACGCTGACAGCTCGGCTAGCCAGGGCCGTGTCTTTACAGGGGAGACACCGCCCAGCCAACGGCCTGGGGGTGGGGCACAAGGTGTTCAGATCAACGCTACCTGCTAACACTGCTTGAGTGCCAACTGTATGCCAGGCATCGTATCCCACCAAGCCCACACACATCTCCAGGAGAGAGGTGCTGACTGTGCCCACTTTCTGCATGGGGAAACTGAGGCCTGAGAAGTGGCAGAGCCAGTTTCTCAGGCCCTGTTGCTGGATGGGTGACCCTAGGGCAGCCCTGCCCCATCTGAGCTGATGCTTCCTGTCCAGTGGAGCAGGGTTGGGGGACAAGCCCCAGCTCACACTCTGAGCCCCACCCAGGCATGGGGGCCTAATCTGGAGTCAAAACCCTGCCTTCTGGTGTTCAGCCTGGACTTGGATGCCTTTGGTGATGGGGCTCTCACCCCATGTCCCACAGGACATTTGCACCTGCTGTTTCTTGGGTGAGACACCCAGTTCCAGGTGGGGAAACCAAGGCTCAGAGAGAAGCAGTGCCTGTCCCAAGCCATCCAGCAGAGCCAGGCTTCACCCCCACCAGGGCCATCCTGCCTGGCCATGCCCACCACTGAGCGACCGGCCTAGCCAGTGCCCCTGTCCTTGCCCTCGTCTGGTGAGACTAATGAGGGCCTTGAGAGCCCCAGATGAAAGCAACTGGGAAGGGCAAGGTGATTATCTGCCCTAATGGTGGTGATTCAGGCAGTGGCCAGCACTGCCTCGGCTCCCCCACTCCCACTCTGCCCGGCCTCAGAGATGCAGGGAGACTCAGACAGGCCTGGGGTCACTGACCGCCCTAGCCTCCCTTTTATTGCCAATCTCCTCCTTCTCTTTCTTTGCCCCTTCATCTCCTCTTGCCTCATACATTCCACAAACACTTATTGAGTGCCTACTGTTTCCTGGTCAGGGCAGCAGGGATGTGACACCAACTCAGTGAGGTTCTGGGCACTGTAGAGCCCCAGCTCTATGCCCCCACCTCCCACCCCAGGTAGGTCATTTGCCTTCTCTGTGCCTTAGTTTCCTCATCTGCCAAGTGGGTGTCCAGGAAGACATAGAGGGGACCCCAACCCAGATGGGCCCTGAGTTTGGTATTACAGGGTGGGGAGTTCAGAGTTCAGACTCAACTCTGCCCTCACCTCATTATGTGCGAGGCCCATGGAGGCTCTTCCCGGAGTCCCAGCTTCCCCTCCCTTTCCTCTCTGGAGTCTCCGTGGTCCCAACCTCAAATATCTCTCTGAGACCCTTCTGCTGCTGAGCCAGGCCTGGAGGTGGGAGCTTCCCGTGTGAACTTGACCTCAACTGTCCAACCCTCCTTCCAAGTGTGTTGGACCTATTTTATAGTTGAGGAAACTGAGGCTCCAGACGGGAAATGACTTGGCCGCCACCACGCAGCCGGAGGAGCCTCCAGAACCTCCCTCAAGTGAGAGAAGGAACGAACAGTGCACAGAACCTCATTGAGTTGGTGTCACATCCCTGCTGCCCTGCCTTGCCTTTGCTATTGCCTTTGTCCGCCTATCTGCCCTGTCCCCCGCCCCCGGGCAGCGGTCCCGGCTACTCACTGTCAGGGTTGTCGCGCCAGCGGGTGCCTTGCACGCGGCCGCTGGAGTCCACGAGCAGGAAGAAGTGTGTTGAAGAGAAGAGACGCCGCCAACGCACGTCGCCCTCCAGGTGCGGGTAGCTGCGCGGTCTCCGCGGAGTGTTTGGTGTCCCCGCGGCGCCGGGCGCCCGTGCCAGCAATAGCCACGCCAGGCCCAGCCATAGGCGGCCGCGCATGGCCTCGCGCCGCACTCGCCGCCGGTTCTCGCCTCCCCGCGAACATCCGCGGCTCTGCCATTGCAAGATCAGCGAGCCGAGCAACTGACCCAGCCGCCCCACGCAGGCCAATTGGAAGCTTCGGGGGCGGGGCCAGCGCCAGAGGGGGCGGGTCAGGATGCGGGGCGAGGCTATGGTCAGGGAGCCGGCCAATGCGGCTCCTCAGGGGCGGGGCCAGGCCGCAGGGGGCGGAACGACTACGCTCCGGAGCGGGGAGCCGGGAGCGGGGAGCGGGGCGGGTGGGCGGCCCTGGCAGATCGAGGAAAACCCTCCGGTCACTGCGCGTGTTTGTCTTGCGGGGTGGGGAGAGCGGTGCTTCTCCTTGAGTCACCAGATTGGTCTGCACGGATTGCGGGCGTGTGTTAAAGAGGTGGACTGAAAAAAAAAAAAACAGGTGGACTGCAGAAACCCACAGGGAGTCAAGAGACAGAGAGACATAAAGACAGAGCCAACGGTGTAGGGAACTACCTTCATTATCTTGTACTAATAATAACCTACCCACTCTAGTATTCTTGGACTTCCCTGGTGGCTCAGACGGTGAAGAATCTGCAATGCGGGAGACCTGGGTTGGGAAGATGCCCTGGAGGAGGGCATGGCAACCCACTCCAGTATTCTTGCCTGGAGAATCCCTAGGAACAGAGGAGCCTGGAGGGCTCCTCGCGTCCATGGGGTCGCAAAGAGTAGAACACAACAGAGCGACTAAGCAGGAGCAGCATAATGGAAAAGAATCTGAAAAGGAATATGTATGTATAACCAAATCATTTTGCTATACATGTGAAACTAACACAATTTTGTAAAAAAATTTTATATACTTCTTTTTGGCTGTGTTGGGTCTTTGTTGCTGCACACAGTCTTTCTCTAGTTGCAGCGAGGGCTACTCTGGAGTTGCGATGAGGCGCATGAGCTTAGTCGCCCCGTGGCATGTGGATTCTTCCCCTACCAGGGATTGAACTGGTGTCTTCTGCATTGGCAGGTGGATCCTTAACTAGGGAAGTCCACAACGTTGTAAATTAACTACACTTCAATTTGTCAAAAAAAAGGTTTAAAAAGAGAGACAGAGCCAGAAATAGAGAGACAAACTGAGAGACGGAGACAAGAGACTGAGAGGGAGACACAGAGAGACAAGAGATAAAGCTACAAGGAGAGACAGAGTCAGTTGGGATAGAGATGGGTAAGACA